AGTACTGCAAGTCCCACATTGTTACATGCAAAGATGTTTTGATACATCTGGGAGAATGTAAGCAAGAAGGTCAGTGGATAATGACTTAATGATTTGGAGCAGAAGCAGAATTTTGGGGAGTAGTTGCAAGGCCTTGCTGGAGAAAAAGGAACAAATGGAAAATCTGAATGATGGCTGAGGCTAAAAATATCAATGGAGAAAGCTGAACAAAGTTAAATGTATGCATATGGTACAATACAATCATGTTTAACACATTTGGCTGTACCTTGGGAGAAACAGCCTGCAATTCCATGTCAATGTTCTGCCTCCAGTGTTTATTCCGGGGGGCAGAGCCCAACACAAGGGGGATATCTGTAACCCTTCCCTTCAGACTCTTCCAGCTCTAATTGCTAATACACAAGCATGAGTGATCACAAGTTGTTCATATAGTTCTGTAAATATTGAAACACTCAGGATTCTGTTGTGCTTGGCATAGACATGCAATTCACTGACAATAAGACTGGACCTTTTGGTTAGTTGACAGATCATGTATACTGCAGCAAGCTGCTGCTCTTTTACATTCTCTTAAAGCCATAACCATCTTAGTCCGTCTGAAAACATCCCTACTCAACAAAGCAGAACTCCTGGGTCATGGATTTTTAAAAATTATATTAGTCATATGGCAACGCAGCATAGTCAAAAGTCATTTAAAGAAAGCAGTTCAGCTGTGCCTGCTTTTGAGTGATCTACTTGGTTGGGTTAGTGCAAGCTAGTGACTTACCTTCTGCTAACAGGTCCTTGAATTGAGGATAGTGGTAAACAGACCAGGAGAAAAAGCTTTTATTAAATATGCTGGGATGGCATGGTTCATACTGGAAGGGAGGAAGCAGGTAAAAGAACTAGTTAGTAGTTGAATGGAGCACTTTTTCTAAGTACATCCCACAGGGTTTCATATTAGCTTGGAGTCTGGACTCACTTTTTACGGGGAATATTATGCCTGCACAAATACCAGAAACATATTTTTTCTCAAGGCAGGATAGGACCACAATGAGGGCCTGAAATACATTTTCCTCAGTGTTTGAAATACACTGTGTGTATGGCACAGAGATTTTGCAGCATGTACTGTTGCAGCAGTAAGTGTTGGTCAGACTTTTGGTTCTTTCTGCTTACTGGGCAGACAGTCCTTAAAGGTTGTAGCTGCTGTCAAGGGGAGTCAGCAGTGTTTCATATGGGAGGGAGCAGACAGCAAGGGGAGAATGCAGGTTGAGTGTCAGGGAAAATGTCGTCAGTAAGGTCTGGAGGGTGCATCCTTGGAGGATGCGGGAGGGCTCAGGTTGCAAAGCCAAGTCTCCTTTCCTTCTCTGAAAGCTCTAGTGAGGACACCCTGAGCTCCAATGCTTGCTGTGCTGCTTCAGCCAGCTTAGTTACTGCATCCACTGATCAGTCCCTGGAAAAGCACTGGAGGGATTGTCCCTTTTAGGAGGACTGGTTGGTATTGTCTTCAGCAACCACTTCTTGGCCCCTGTAATACGGGGACTTGGCCCAGAGGTGGCTGAGGTGGAGAGGCAGGAGTTGGGCTGGGAGCCAGGGTGTGTTTGTTTTGTTTGCACAGCTGTAGTCGTGCAGTGGTGATGACCCTTGCCTTTCTTTTTGGGACTGACCAGTATTGGTGGGGACACCTGTGGGTGCAGCAGGCTGTTCTCATCCCCACAGTAACTCCAGTGAGTTCAGGGTGTCGGGAGGCTCTGACCTTGATGGCATAACACACATAGTGTTGGGGAAATATCTACCAAAGGGAAGGTTGTTGGCCATCTCTGTACTGTCACAGCATTGTAGGATGGGAGCAGGGATTAAAGCTCTGAGTAAAGCAGCATGTGAGTCCACCCAGAGAGATTTAACTGCACACACCCCTTCTCCTGCAGTGAATGCATGAGTGTGTCTGTGTACATCTCTAAATTCACTGCTGCCTAATTTCCCTTCTTCAAAATATCAACCAATTTCTAGTGCCAAGGAACATAATAATCTATTTATTAAAATGAGACAGACAGTAAGTTTGTGTGGGGGAATGGGAAGGCAGTGCACATTGATCATGCTGATTTAGGACAGTACTGCCATCACAGCATTTACGGAGATAAATTATTTGCAGCTAATTGCATTGTAAATTCCACTAAACCATTGTCATAAGGTATTTTCCCTAAGATACAAGCCCTTCATCAAAAATAAAACCAAAAAGAGCAAAGGACCAGTTGTGGGGTTTTTCCTAATTAAGTATTATATGAAAATAAGAAGAGAGAGAGGGGAAATGTTAATTAAATGCTACATCTGTTGTAGTGGGCTAGTTTTGAATACTATGGGACATGTTGAAACTCATACAGATTTTCCATCTGAAAGCCAAAAAATTGAGTCCTGAGGTCTTTGTCCTTGGATCAAGACAGTCCTGAGCTATTCCAGGTCAGGATTTTGATGTCACTAAGTTTCAGACATGGTACTCCTGGCATGCCACCAATCTTAACCATCCCAAAAAGTGACCCAGACAAGGCTTGGATACTGGACCACCTTCAAGAGAGCCCAGAGAAACTGCAGCAGTGGGATTCAGCCTCCTGCTCCTGCTGGGGCGGACTGTGGCCATGGAGTTATGGTGCCTACAGTGAGTATCCTGGGCTAGAAGCACCAACAGGAAACAGCATTCATTGTGTACAGCTGATATGGACACCTGTGGGGTTCACCAGAGAGCAGTTCCCCCAAATACTCAGTGGTAGTACTTAGTAAAGTGCATTTTTCCAGGGAGCTCAAAGGTTTTTCTCAAGCTGAGTCAGAAGATGCAGAAGCAGAGAGCAGTTAATTGGATTTCCCAAGGAAGCATAGCAAGCAGGGGAGAACTGAGGACTTCCATCTTTCCCAGGCTCCAGTAAAAAGCGTTTGACTGTTGTCCCCACTACCTTAATATTTTTTCAGGTGACTGGGAGCAAAGCATGACATTTCTTTTCTTTCATATTCAAGGGTACAAATTCTCATTCTTTGAAAATATTTGTCACAGCATGCCTATACAAATTCTCTCCTTGGTTCTTAAAACTGTTGTGCTGTGGGCTCATTTTAGAGACTCCAGGCAGGGAGACATTGCTGTCAGACCAGGAGGGGGCTGGGTCTCTTTCCAGTTTTCACTGATGAGATGTTTCAGGCAGTGCTCATTTCTGAAAAACTTATTCGGTTGTTCAGCAATTGGGAAATTTCTTTGCAGGGTCCTTTTGTCATAGGAAAGCTTTTCCTCCTAATGTCTTGTATGAAACTGGGAGTTGTTAGCTCCCAGGGTAGCTGTAGCTGTCAATCTGCTATCTGATTAGAAGAAAGCATTTTCTTTTCTTCCTCCTCCTCTCCCCCTCCTCACACAGTAAAACGATTTGATTACAAAGAAATTGGGAGAATCATGTACTGCCTGTGGTCTTGTCTTTGAGCCTGGGGTAGCTGATCATTTCAGTGGTCACGGCTGGGATGTGGCTAAGCCTTGACTCTGCAATGAGCACATGCACAGCGTGAGACCCCACTTGCCAACTGTAGCCTCCTAAAAGCTGGGCCTCCACTGGTGTCAGGTCACCCCACTGCTGCTGGGGCTGGGGGGGCCCAGGGGCTACCCCAGAAATTTTCATTTGCACCTGCCCTCACATACAAAGGGTTCTTCTTGCCTTTGATAGAACCACAATGCCTGAAATTGAGTTGACTGAAGTTAGGTGGGTCAGGTAAAGCTAACGGAGCTGGGTTGTTCATGGACTTGAGCATTAGTTAATTAGTTTCCATCATGCCCTGAGCTGGGTCAGGTATGAGGTGTTTGTGTCAAGGAGGAACTGAGGTAAAGTGGTTCTCCCAGGAACACTGAGTTGTGGCAGAACAACCATTAGGCCCCAGGATTGTTGCCTCATGAGACCTCTCCACTTCTACTCCTGACAGGAAAGATGCTCCTACTCGGTTTAAATGTGCTGTTAATTAAATGAGCCCTGAACATAAGGATGCTGTAGCAGCACACCTAGTGTTGACTCCCAGATCAAAGGAGTGGGTTCTCTGCACAACAACCATCAAAGGTGCACTGCTGAGTGACAGAGATCCGAGAGAGGCATAAGAAATTTAATCCAGGGGTTAGTTGAAAAGGATGTTATAAAAGTTCCTCGAACAAATTCACAGATGACAGTGAGGTAGAAGAAAGTTCCATAGAATTACTGCAAACACTCACATAAAATGTGATTTTATCCTTGTACACAGGTAACAGCTGGCATAGCAATGGGCTTTAATCTGGGGAGAGGGGGACTTCTGCTTGCTGGTGGGAAGAGGGGAGGGAGAAAAGAAACATTTCTAAATTTTTGTGGTAAAAGGGGCATTTGTCATTCTCATTTTTTATGTTATTGTTACCAACAATTGTTACGTGGTTGTTAAATTTTTTGAGTAATTTTAGATTTTCCAAAAGTGACCATGATTTGTTACTTATACTGTAGCTTACAGAAGTGACACACTTAATATCGGGGGGTCCAAACCTGGATATCTACCAATGGAGATGGAGATCAGGTAAATGCACACCTGCTCTTCCAAAGAGAAAAGCTGCCTTTTGGCAACTGGTATGAGAGGGAGCTGCAGGCTGTACCATAAGTGTTTTTGGAAGAGGTTAGACTCAGTGCTGCCATTAATCACCAGCCTTCGTGTAGGCCCAGCATGGTTTTGTGTGTCAATGGTGTTCAGACAACACGCCATCTACCAGGAGACTCCAGGTCTCTGGAGAAGGCTCTGGGTTCCATCCCTAGCAGTAGCTGAGCACAGGTCCGCTGCAGGAGACCTGGCAGGAGCTGTGATCCCACACAGACCAGCCCCGTAGCGAGTGCGAGGGACCCTCTTACTCTCCCAGCTGGAGGGAAGGTGGTGGTGGCCACAGCAGAGAGACCGTGATGGAGAAGGCAGGTGAGAGGGAGCTGTCTGCAGGTAGAAAAGAGTAATTATGTAGCACTGTTGCCATGCCTGTCATCTCCCCTTCTCTTTTGCAGACACTTAACAAGAACAATTTGATACCAGACGACAGGACCAACTTCTACCCGTTGCAGCAAACCAATGTGTACACAACAACCTATTATCCCAGTACACTGAATAAATATGACTACAGGCCTGAGGCCTCCCCTGGAAGGACCTTTACCAACAGCTGATGATGGACAGATCCTACAGGACTGGATAACTTCCTATATGATTTTTTTTTAATTGATTTTATGGACCAAATACCGGCCCAGCCTCTAGATGTAAATATTGTACAGTAGGGTCTCTTTTTTTTTTTCCTTTGGTTAATTGTATTTCTTGTAAACAGCACATCTCCTTACAAGGACAAAAATGCATATGGACCATTCTGCAGAGCTTTTGTGGACATTTGGCTGGAGATGGCTCTTACTACTGCAACTGTTTATGGTGGGAAGATGAGTGTTACTGTCCAAGGCGACGTTGTCGAGGAGGGGGATGTGTGCTGGGCTTGGTGGCCACTGTGCAGCAGCACACAACACACAGGAGCACTCCAAGCAAGGCCAGACGTGGCCTTCCTGGGGCAGGGGTGTCTGTCTGATGAAGAGCATCCTTCCTGAGCCAGGAGAGCAATGATGTGCTGGATGACACACAGCCTGTGAGACAGGCCAAACAGGACTCCATCGTGCCAACAACTTGAAGAACATTTTCTTTTCCTTTTTTTTATTTTTGATTTTTTTTTAATGTTTCTGGAAAAAAAAAAAAGTAGTAACTTTCTAGGGCAGTGTTCCCTTTATCTTCAACAGAATCTTTTCATATTACAGGAAATACTCTCTGCAGCCTTCTTTGGTAATACGCAGTTCAGCTGATGAGAAACAACACACAAACAAAAGTGCATTATCCAAAGAAGCTTTCCAGAATGTTTCCAGTCTTAATTAAAAAAAATTATACAGGCAGTGAGACACTGAGAAAAGTAAATGTTGGAGTAACATCGAAGACATGAACTTGGAGTGCCTAACAAACAAAGATGTTTATATCACTGGAACAAGAGATGTGATGATTGCCGCACAAGAGCCATGGGCTTATTTTCTTTCTTCCTTTTTCTTTTTTTCTGAGACAGCATTAACTCTTTTGTTCTAGCTTTGATCCTGATTGCGCCTACCAGGAAAGGCAACCTTAGAGGCCATGCTCTTCTTGTGGGAAATCACCATGCTTTGGGCTAATATTTCCTCTTGTTTTATTATTGGGTTTTAGTTCCTTTACTCTCAACGAGTGAATAATTCTGACTTTGCAGGGGTAAGGTATTTTTATAAGGAATGTTTCCATAGTCTGACATGACCCAGAAAGTCTGCTGCACATTCTTATAGCGTCTTCCAGTGAAATCGTAACACAGCTGAGTAATGTGCATTGTTTGCCAGTATTTCTTTAATTTTTCTGAGAAAAACAACCCAACAAACAAATGCTGCTGCAGCTATTGAAGTAAATTGGGGCAGTAGCATTATTAAACAGTATATCCAGCCTTGAAATGTAACTTTGTGTATGTGTGTGACTGTGTCTATAAGAACTGTATTCGTCTGATGCAGAAGCCATGTTGTCTACAACCAGATGTTTGTCTGACATAATTGTTTGGCAAAAAGGAAACTTATTGCTGGTGCTTAATGTACAGTTACATCCAGTGTGTTAGCAACGTGAACAAGTTCACCGCTGTTACCATTCAGTGTTTCTAAATATTTATAATGAACTCCTGATGCTAAGGATTTTAGAATGTCGCAATACAGAGCATGAGATAAAAGTACACCCTGAAATACGCATGAGCTCCATGTGGTCCTGAGCTTGGCTTTGTCGTCTGCATCTTACTCGAGCAGTTGCCATGCCCGTGCCTGGCCGCTGACCCGGCCGTGTTCCCAGCAGTCCTGTCTGTCTGTGCTTAATTCCAGATTTCGCTGTAAGCCGACATTGATTGTTGCTCAGTGCTGTTCCTTTGCAGTTGCTTGTTTGGAAGTCCAGCTTGGGCTGTGTACTCAGCTCTTTCACGTAGGCAGCTGGTAGGATATGAAGGAAGACTGAGTTGCTTGTGACAAGTATATTGCTTTTCCTGTGAGGAAGAGCCAGCGTGGCTCTGTAAGCCTGTGTTATGGCGGTTTGACCAGAGGGCGAGTCTAAAATAGCCTCCCATTTTTAAATTACTTTGTTTGACTTCGGTTTGCAGTGATTGAAGGCTGTAGGGATATTTGTAATGGGGTGAGGTCCTTAGCACTGCCATGAAGGCACCTTCCGCTCAGCGGTGCACATCTTCAGCAGCTACTTTTCTGGTTTAGCAGCTGATCCTGCTTCTTTGGTCCCACCAGATGAAATAGAGGGGACAGATGGAGAGAGAGAGAGAGGTACTCTTAAATAGATGTAAGCTGATGGAGACCTAGGAGATCTGTCTGAAGCAACCTGCTGCAACCTTCCAAGTAGGCACAGGAGTTCAGCACCTCTGACCCTCCACAGCAGCACAGCCAGGCAAGAGTAGCAGGAGTGAAACAGGAACACCAGGGAAGCAGGATAGCACTGGCAGCAGGTACCAGCACCTACAGAGAGACTCTTCCCAGGACCCTAAATTCCATTTGAGGAGCAGTGCCTCGTGCCGTGACGAGTTCACCCCATCTCTCTGAATTTCCACATCCCTCTCAGTAAGACTGAAGATCCTGATTTAAAGTAGTTCTAAGAAGTGTGTAGCCATGGGGTTGAAAATTATTATATTAGACTATCAGGATGGGATTTCCCAGATTTAGTTTATGTGATTCAGGAGAAAACACTGGTTCCCAAGATCCTTCTAGCTACTGAAAAATCAAAACTGTCTCTGAGCTTCCCCTTCAGAAGATTCCCTATATTGGCACACTCTGCAATTACCATGCACACGGCCAGATTGCAGCTGGAGTTGTGGGGGATGTGAGCAAGTCAAACCTTGCAATTATCTCAATTTTTTTATTTTTTTCTTTCTCTTTCCCCCTCCCTGCCTCTAAATATTTTTTTCCCATTTTTGGCTTCACAGAATAACATGATGTAAATGGATTTCTTTTCCCAAAGTACCATATAGCAGATGAAATTATTTAAATGTTCAACTCACCAAGACAGATGATTACTGCCATTGTGCTCAGGAGGTGGATATTGGAGACTATTGGAGGCAAATGCTTTGAGGGTGATGCACATGGTTATAGTTTCATCAAGACATTCCTTCTTACCAGCCATCCAAAGGGATTCAGTCCTTTTTCATATAATTGGCAATCACAGCAAGGGGCTGTAGTCTCCATTCGAGCAGAAAGCAGGATCCAGGAGAGAGTGAAAAAAAAGAATCAGAACACTTATTACTCAATTAATGTTTGCAGGAGAGTGCAGTTCTTTAAGGAGGATGTTAATGTGGTGTGAGAGTTGCATTTTTTATGAGCTCTCTAATGCGTGGCAGGTTAATGACACCATGTGCAGTGATATCTTGCAATCCAGGTAATTCAGAACCTTGAGCATCAGGTCTGTAATATCTGTATCAGTTTGAATTGCCCCTGCAATTCGATGTTAAACTTGCTAAAATTTCCTATTCCTAAAACCATCTCAAATTACACTGGAAATGCATTTCCTGTGGAAATATTGTTTTCCAAAAGACTCATATAATTTTTTTTCTTTTACTTCTAAGATAGAAGGGGAACTCTGAGCAGTTTCTGTGTAGGTCTGGAGACACTGTGTCTCTGCAAACCCTTTGGGTAGTATTCAGGTATACAGTGTGTGAAATATGATGGAAATCCTACAGCCAAGTATGTAGTGGAAACATCTTTAATTAGGCCATTCTTTCTTTTTCCATGGAAGTGAAAAAAGCCAAAGGGGTGTGCATGATGGTGCTATCCAGGCTGTGTTGTGCTGTTGCTGTCAGGCTTTCCTTGAGCAGCTGTCACCCACCAGGAATACCTTGTGCTGCTCGCTAACAAACAAACCATTGATGATGAAACCATCGCGTAAGAGGTGCTGTTGCTCTAAGGGTGCACTTGAATGTTCCAGCATGTGAGCCAGGGCTGCTCTTAAATATATGAACTGTACAGATACTGTAGGAGAAGAATATGTATGGTCTTACCACCACTGTTCCTAATGCCTTACGTTCAGAAAATGAAGTGCTTGGTTTGAAATCAGCAGAGAGCAGGAATGGATCCCGTGTCTGACACAGACAATTTGATGCCTCCAGTGATAATCTGATGTTCAGCCCACCTGGAGAGAAAACCGCTGTCCATTGAGATTGATTTATTCTTTGTACCAAATGTAGTGGGGGAGAGTTATATATATATATATAAATATATATATAAAAAAATGTAAATGTAAAGTTTGTGTAACAACTTACTCTTTTTTTGTAACAGTGTATACATCTATCAGTGGATAGATACAGTATATATTTATAATATATACACACGCAATATATATATTTAGCAAAATGCCTGCAGAGGAAACTTAGAATAAGAAAGGCGGTGCTGGTATTCAAATACCACAGGGACAAAGTGAAGAAAAAACCCTGTAAAAATCTACTATCCTTTCTATTAGGTTTAAAAACCCACTTTTGAGGTAAATGAAATATAATTTTTTAATTGAAAAATACATTGATTTTTCTAGTTAGAAATGCTGATTCTCCCCTGAATCATTCTGGTTAAGAGTGATTAAGAAAAAGATACTTGTTACTGCTTATATTTTCAGAATAAGCCTCCCAAATTTCTCATGTGTATCCCTCTATTGTTTTTCTAATTATAAGTAGGGAGTAATCGTGCAAAGAAAATTAAAATAGCAAGTAGGAGTAACAAATCTTGTACCATTAGAGCAAAAGACATCATTTGTTAGAACAGGAAAACTGTCATCTTCCATGTTTAAGAAGTCAGTAACTGCCTTCTGAGTTATTGATCTGCATTACAAGCCTTGCCTTATCGGCACACTAGGAGGCTTTAGTACAAAATTTAGGAAAATAGCCTGCAAACCCATGGCTTTTGGTTTTCAGAGGGCTTCAAAAAAAGCCACAGGGCCATGGGAGTCAGGCACCTGGTGCCCTGGGTGTCTCTGGAGCTTTCTGTGTCAGTGGCCAAGGCTCTGCATTCATTTCTTGCCCCGTCAATCCCACGAGCCAGCCCATATGCATGGCAGGGCACAGCACCCCTTGGAGCTGCCTGGTATAAGAGAGAAATACCCAATAAATGGGGTTTGAAGAATTTTATTTTTTTCCCAACAAATCACTTTGCAATGCCCTCATGACCAAGCCCAAAGTCCAACAGGTGAATCTTTCCCTTAAACTTGTTAAGAGGAAACATCAGGTAGCTTCAAGAGCAGTTTTGGGGTAGGTGAAAGAGGTTTCTGTCCAATTTTGTGTTGCCTGATTGCCAGAGCCTTCAAAACTGGGCAAAAAGCCCTCTGGAGCTGGGTCCTTGTGGGACTTACCCAGTCTCAGCTGTTCTGTCTGGAAATTCCTCCTTTGGACCCTTTGGGAAATATTAGCGTCTGCATTAGTCCTGCTTAGAGGAGCAAAACCAGCAACCCACTATTTACATAACCACAAATATAAGTGCTCAATTGCATTCAACATAAGTTTGGGTCTTGAACCTGTTATTTTTAACATTCTGCCTCCAGCCTCAGCTGCAAACTCACCCCTGCTGTTCGAGAGGGTTCAGTGCTGTAAGAGCAGCATTTGGCTTTCTGCAGGTCCCAGCCACGAGCTGGTTTTAAACAAATCTGATTGTGAAAAGTATTAATGCTGCACTCTTGGCTCTGACAGCTCTGTAATCCAGCAGGATGCTGCTGATTCGCAGGCCGCAGAGTCAAGCAGAGGACGGCGTGGATGGGCCATTAATAACTGCAGCAAAAATGTTATTAGCACCAAAATGTCAAACAATGTAAAAGCCAGCCAGCTGCTCGGCAGTGTGCTCTCCATCCACACCCTCCTTAGACAGCATCCAAACCTGCCCATATCTAAAAGTAATGCACTTAAATAGGAGCATTCCTACAGAGGAAGCTTTAGGGAGGATGTATGGTATGTGAGGTGGAAATGATAGGATTTAGCTTGTAGTTGAGGTGGGAGAGTGACAGATGCAATATTGGATCTTGGGTACATGGGAAACGATTATGCCAACACAGTATGCTTGCCCCAAAATTACAAAACCTGGAGAGTATTATTGGACTCTGTTGTGAAGGCACATCACCCTTCCTATGCAATCGAACTTGATGGTACTTTAGCATAAAGGTGACCTAGACTGTAATCACTGCCTTTAGACACTGTGAATTTTTTTTGGGTACTCTGTATTTTTATATATTGTACAATGTAAAGAATAATTCAGAAATAAAACAGACCAACCTGACAAGCCTGTGAGTTATTTCCCCTTTGTGGCCAGTGCGTGGCGTGGCTGGGGCTCCTGACAGCACTGGCACGATAGGTCAGCAAGAAAACTGAGGAGCTTCCTCCTGACCTTGGTGGGCAACAGCAATGCAAAATCCACTCAGCTGCTTGAGCAGAGATGGGGAGTAGAAGCATACATCCTTCCTCCCTGTCTGCACTCTGGCTACATCCTGAGGCCCAAGTTTGGATTACATTTGTCATGACTTGTAGGCTGTGCAGACACAAAATTGTGCTACTGAATGTTACACCAAAGGTTGTCCCTGCAATTCACCTCCCCTCCCTCCTGAGCTCCACACCAAACCTGGGGTGCATTTCAAAAAATTTTGTTTCTGAATGAAGTGCCCAGTGAGGTAAGATTAAAAATTTGGGGGGCCAAGTTCTTGTCCAGTTCTGCTTCCCAGCTCTCCGCAGGTGACACGGAGTCTCCAAGGGCACAACTGCTCTCCACGCCAAGGAGATCAGCTGGCTGCAGCCAGCAAAAAAAGAGGCTCATCCTCTGCAGAGCCTCTGAGCTGTATGTGCTCAGCTGCAATGAAATCCTGTCACTGCTCCCGCTCAAGCCCTACATATTGATGTAAAAAGTTATAAAAAGCTGAGGGACACGTTTTGATTGAAGGATGATCGTAGCCTCGTATTGAAGAACGTTATAGCTCTTGTTGCATTTATTAATCAAAGTAAAGACCATGAAAAGTGACAGAGTCAGGAACATTTTAGTTTATGTTCCGATACAGCTCAAGACTTATATTGAAGTTCCATACAGAAAATTACACCATAATGTCATAAAAAATAGATTGGATTGCTAATAACCTGAAACGTGCTACACCTGCATACATAATACTTTAATCCTACTAAATCATAAGCTATCATTTGGGTGTTTTCATATTCTCAAGTGTGCATACAGGAATTTCTTTTCAATGCAGACCATTAAAAAGTAATTGAGAGGCACAAGATCCGTAAAAACAAACTTGCTGTGAGTAAGATAGATTTTTTTTCCCAGTTAGGTTGCACAATAACTCAGGGAGGTCATTTCTGAACGGTTTTGTTTTGCATCAAGACACCTCTGCACACAATTAGAGCAAAGTATCATGTTGGAACCAATTTCCAATTTCCTTTAAATCTCTCTACCACCACTTTTTTTTTTTCTTTCTAGTTGCTAATTTGTTTCATTAACATAACACTTTTAGCCTCAGTAAATTTTGTTCTCTCACTATGCATCCCAACTGTACACTTTTCCCTCTTTAATTCTTAACTGTGTGTCAAACAGCGAAAGTTTCATTATCTTGCAGGTTCCCTGTCAGCTTTTTATGAAGCCAAAGCCTCAGGGCTGTGCTGCTGGGCTGCGAGCAGCACTCGCTGCCCATGGGTTTGCTGGGGAGCACCTGCAGCAAATGTTGGTAAACGGGGGGAACACAGGCCAGGGTGTGGAGCTTTCTGTGGGAACAGCACCTACAGCCACAGCCCCACAGCCCCCCTCCAGCCTGCCCTTGGCAGCGCTCAGAGGTTGAGAAATGTGGGAAAAGGAAAAAGGGGAAGTGTCCTCATGAGTCATGTCTAGTCCACCTGTTCCTCCCAGCTCCCTGCAATTCGTGCTTTAGGGACGTGCTGTGCCAGATGGTGCAGTGACAAACCTGTCCTAGCCCTGTCCCTCCATATGAAGCCCATTTGCTGGTTTTTTTCTTCTCTATCAGGGAATGGAGACCTCCATGGCTGGTGGGGCACTTGCCTGGGCAAGTTAGGGAGGCAAGGAGGGGCAGGGAATTACAGCCCAGCCCAGTTAACACCTGTGCTAGTGAAAATGCAGGAGAAACGACTCGAATGAAGGAGCTGTACCATCAAAGAGCAGCCAAGCAGATGCATATGGGCACCAGGGCCTTATCCAGAGCAAGTTGTGTCAGACCATGTTAATTTCCATCTCTGAACAGACACGTCCTGTAGATAGAATGGAAATAAGAAATATCACACAGCTGATTTTAGCAAGGTTTTTGACTCTCTCATAAATGACCCTCCTCTTCTGCCAGGAGCAGTGTCCAGGCAGAGCATTGTGCAGACACACTCCTCAGAAAGCAGTCAGGTTGTGGCAGTAAAAAAAGCCTCAAGTGAGTCCCCTAATGCCATGCCCAGCACCCCGACTAATGCTCAGCACCCCAACCAGTGCCCCCAGTCCCACCAGTGGCCACAGTCCCCCCATCACCATGTGATCACAAACCTTGGCTCTGACTCCTGAATTTTCCTCTGCCCATGCAAGCATTTCACTCAGCTCAGAGCCCCGTGGCTGTGCTGCTGGGACTAGTCAGGGGGACAGTCCCCAAGCTCAACAACAGTCCCTGAGTCAGCTTAAATCAGCTCAGTGCAGCCACTCCACAGAGAGCAGTGCAGAGCAGGCACCTCCTCAGTGTGCGTGAGAGTCAGTGCAAAAGCTCCACTTCCCACGGTTGTGTTTCCCCTTCGAGTGCACAGCTGGGAGGGAGATTGCACACTCCCAAACACACATCTCAGTTACCAAAAGCTTTGGAGATTCATTAAAAATGCTGTTTCACTAACAGTTGAAATACATTTTGACATGGTTTTATTTTATTCATTTGGAAGAAGCCACTGATGGAGTTGACGTTGCACTTTCTGTTAAAAAAAAACACCTGAGATTCAAATTAATCAAGAAGGTGACAGAGTTCAGCTGTGCCCAGATTTAAAAACCCCAACTGCACCCACACACACCACCCTGCTCCTAGCCAGATTTCAATCCTTCCATCTGCTGACAACATCTCCAAACCAAATGATTCTCCTCTGGAGAAAGGACTGAACCAGGCTAAGATTTTGTGCTTTGAGATAAAAATATAAAGCTGGCCCTTGGCAGCTGGACAGATTCTTGCCTTTTCTTGCTTGCCCTGGTGTGCTTGCGGGACAGGTTTATTTTGTGACCCAGAATTTTATCACCCTTGTTTTGTTGTGAGTGACCCTATATCGATCACCTCATGACAGCAAAAACATGTGTAAGATCAGCTGGCTTTCATTCTAGAACTACTAAGATGACAGGGAAGCATTGTTGTGCTGTACACCAGCCACATCCATCCCTCAGCTCCGTGGTGTGGATCTCTGCAAAATATGGAAGATGCAACTCTTTGGATCCTTGCATCAGCTGAGGCAGATCTGGAATCCAGCAAATGCTTAAAGCTCCTCCTGGCTGAGCAGCTGCAATGCAACATTGTCACCCTTCAAAATAACTTCTCTGAAGATTTTCAAGGTCAAACTTCGCAGTTTATGGATTGGCAATTAGCTGGAAGCGAAAAGTAGCCCTGGGTTTCCATCACTCTGGAGACAGTGAGGTGCCTCCCAGACTCAGTGTTAGCATCAACCACAGTGAACAGCAACAGGCTGTTGAGGTTCGATCCATCTAACCTTGCTGTATTCTTTAATTTTTAAACCTCCCATAGTCATTTCCTTGCTGTCACGGAAATAATGGAGCCGGCAAAGGATTGCTCCCCTCTCAAGCGCAGGGTAATGAACAGCCATCAGAAACGTTTGATATTTCCATGATGTGAAGCATCAATGGCCACAGAGAAAACTGTACCCATTTTGGCAGTACTGAATTTACTGTCACGAGCAAGCCATCGGTACGAGAGAGCAGGCACAACGCTGATACACTTTTATTACCCTGGCAGGAGCCACATTATTGTTTTCTGTTTTCACATTTCTTAGCAACAACATTTTTTCTGTTCGTAGGTTTCTTCCTAGGAGCTCGGCTGGAATTATTTTTATGTTGTCCTCAATTTACATGCTGACTTACATCAGCCTGTCCTCAAGCAAGAGCCTTGCTTTCTGCCTGAAAGCCTCCTGGCAATTACTACTGCCTTCTGCTGACCCATCACTCCTCTGGCACTGGAGGGAACCTCACTGCCTGGCAGAAGCCACCTGTCCTGGGGAGCAGCTCAGTCCCTGGCAGTCCCTGCCACGCCAGGTGCTGCTGCAGCCAAGGAGGGTCTGGAGTTAATAGGTATGGACTCATGCTCTGAGCATCATTTCTGCACACCAGCCCACAGACCCACAGTCCCGCCCCAGCCAAGATAAAATCACCTCTAATTGCCATGTGAGTGTACAAGGTAGGACGAGCTGCAATGCTTTATCATAGGCTCAGACCTATGCTGAAAATCTCTCTCAAAATGATTTTTTTCCTCCTGCACTTCAGTGGCAGTGAAGGCATTTCTGTATGAGGTTGTGCTGATCTAGTTCACATTTCTGCTGCTCATCCACTCACTGCAAACCCTTCACAGCCAACCTTTCCCTTTGCCACTATCACCCTTTCCTCTTCCAGCAGCAAAACTCAGCTGCAAAGCTACATTCATAATGCCAACCCTCAGCTCTGCAATCAAAGGCAGGTTCAGGAGAGCCCCGGGAACAGTTTCAGGTTCAGAACACGGTGGGGTCAGTTTGTTGGCTGCCCGATTTCCGTTGGCTGCCCAATTTCCTCTGCCTGCGCTCGCCTGAGTCCTACCAAGGCAATGTTTCCCTGTGGGGAGGTTTGCATTCCCTGCCCACTGCCTTTTGGTGCCTGAATCAGGTACTTACTGTGGTTGTAGGTCTGTGACCAAACAGTTGGATGGACAGAAGGATGGACAGGCTACTCACAGCACAGCCCTTGCACCCCCAGGGAAGGGGTCCAGCCCATCCTGGTGCCACTGGCAGACCTCCCACAGCCTGGGACCTGCCTGCAGATATGGAGAAAAGAATGGAGCAAAGGAAAAAATCTCCCAAAGAGAAACCCCACTGTGGCCATGGGACCTATAAAGCCTCCCAGGGCTGTGGGGCCCTGCTCCCCTTGTTTGTTTGACTCCTGAAGAGTTGAGGTGTTTTCTGCAACCCTTAGCCAAGGATGACTTCAGTGGGTGACTGGCCCACACCAGGAGAGGAGAGTGTGCTGCTCCTGGCAGCTTGCATGAGGAGTCCTGGCACGGTGCATGCTCTGG